ACAGAACTCTCCACCCCAAATCAACAGAATATACATTCTTCTCAGCACCACATCACACTTATTCCAAAATTGACCACATAATTGGAAGTAAAGCACTCCTCAGCAAATGTACAAGAACAGAAATTATAACAAACTGTCTCTCAGACCACAGTGCAATCAAACTAGAACTCAGGACTAAGAAACTCAATCAAAACTGCTCAACTACATGGAAACTGAATAACCTGCTCCTGAATGACTACTGGGTACATAACGAAATGAAGACAGAAATAAAGATATTCTTTGAAACCAATGAGAACAAAGATACAACATACAAGAATCTCTGGGACACATTTAAAGCAGTGTGTAGAGGGAAATTTATAGCACTAAATGCCCACAAGAGAAAGCTGGAAAGATCTAAAATTGACAATCTAACATCACAATTAAAACAGCTAAAGAAGCAAGAGCAAACACATTCAAAAGCTAGCAGAAGGCAAGAAATAACTAAGACCAGAGCAGAACTGAAGGAGATAGAGAAACAAAACACCCTCCAAAAAATCAATGAATCCAGGAGTTGGTTTTCCGAAAAGATCAACAAAATTGATAGACCGCTAGCAAGACTAATAAAGAAGAAAAGAGAGAAGAATCAAATAGATGCAATAAAAAATGATAAAGGGGATATCACCACTGACCCCACAAAAATACAAACTACCATCAGAGAATACTATAAACACCTCTATGCAAATAAACTAGAAATCTAGAAGAAATGGATAATTTCCTGGACACTTACACTCTCTCAAGACTAAACCAGAAAGAAGCTGAATCCCTGAATAGACCAATAGCAGGCTCTGAAATTGAGGCAATAATTAATAGCCTACCAACCAAAAAAAGTCCAGGACCAGATGGATTCACAGCTGAATTCTACCAGAGGTACAAGGAGGAGCTGGTACCATTCCTTCTGAAACTATTCCAATCAATAGAAAAAGAGGGAATCCTCCCTAACTCATTTTAAGATGCCAACATCATCCTGATACCAAAGCCTGGCAGAGACACAACAACAAAAAAGAGAATTTTAGACCAATATCCCTGATGAACATTGAGGTAAAAATCCTCAAAAAAATACTAGCAAACCAGATCCAGCAGCACATCAAAAAGCTTATCCACCATGATCAAGTGGGTTTCATCCCTGGGATGCAAGGCTGGTTCAACATACGCAAATCAATAAACGTAATCAAGCATATAAACAGAACCAAAGACAAAAGCCACATGATTTTCTTAATAGATGCAGAAAAGGCCTTTGACAAAATTCAACAGCCATTCATGCTAAAAGCTCTCAATAAATTCGGTATTGGTGGAACGTATCTCAAAATAATAAGAGCTATTTACGACAAACCCACAGGCAGTATCATACTGAATGGGCAAAAACTGGAAAAATTCCCTTTGGAAACTGGCACAAGACAGGAATGCCCTCTCCAACACAGTGTTGGAAGTTCTGGCTAGGGCAATCAGGCAAGAGAAAGAAATCAAGGGTATTCAGTTAGGAAAAGAAGAAGTCAAATTGTCCCTGTTTGCAGATGACATGATTGTATATTTAGAAAACCCCATTGTCTCAGCCCAAAATCTCCTTAAGCTGATAAGAAACTTCAGCAAAGTCTCAGGATACAAAATTCATGTGCAAAAATCACAAGCATTCTTATACACCAGTAACAGACAAACAGAGAGCCAAATCAGGAATGAACTTCCATTCACAATTGCTTCAAAGAGAATAAAATACCTAGGAATCCAACTTACACAGGATGTAAAGGACCTCTTCAAGGAGAACTAAAAACCACTGCTCAGTGAAATAAAAGAGGACACAAACAAATGGAAGAACATACTATGCTCATGGATAGGAAGAGTCAATATCATGAAAATGGCCATACTGCCCAAGGTAATTTATAGATTCAATGCCATCTCCATCAAGCTACCAAGGAGTTTCTTCACAGAGTTGGAAAAAACTGCTTTAAAGTTCACGTGGAACCAAAAAAGGGCCCACATTGCCAAGACAATCCTAAGTCAAAAGAACAAAGCTGGAGGCATCACGCTACCTGACTTCAAACTATACTACAAGGCTATAGTAACCAAAACAGCATGATACTGGTACAAAAACAGAGATATAGACCAATGGAACAGAACAGAGTCCTCAGAAATAATACCACACGTCTACAGCCATCTGATCTTTGATAAACTTGAGAAAAACAAGAAATGGGGAAAGGATTCTCTATTTAATAAATGGTGCTGGGAAAATTGGCTAGCCATAAGTAGAAAGCTGAAACTGGATCCTTTCCTTACTCCTTATACGAAAATTAATTCAAGATGGATTAGAGACTTAAATATTAGACCTAATACCATAAAAACTCTAGAAGAAAACCTAGGTAATGCCATTGAGGACATAGGCATGGGCAAGGACTTTATGTCTAAAACACCAAAAGCATTGGCAACAAAAGCCAGAATTGACAAATGGGATCTAACTAAACTAAGGAGCTTCTGCACAGCAAAAGAAACTACCATCAGAGTGAACAGGAAACCTACAGAATGGGAGAAAATGTCTGCAATCTACTCATCTGACAAAGGGCTAATATCCAGATCATACAAAGAACTCAAACAAATTTACAAGAAAAAAACAAACAACCCCATCAAAAAGTGGGCAAAGGATAGGAACAGACGTTTCTCAAAAGAAGACATGCATACGGCCAACAGACACATGAAAAAATGCTCATCATCACTGGCCATCAGAGAAATGCAAATCAAAACCACAATGAGATACCATCTCACACCAGTTAGAATAGCAATCATTAAAAAGTCAGGAAGCAACAGGTGCTGGAGAGGATATGGAGAAATAGGAACACTTTTACACTGTTGGTGGGATTGTAAACTAGTTCAACCATTATGGAAAACAGTATGGCGATTCCTCAAGGATCTAGAACTAGAAGTACCATATGACCCAGCCATCCCTTTACTGGGTGTATACCCAAAGGATTATAAATCATGCTACTATAAAGACATATGCACACGTATGTCTACTGCAGCACTATTCACAATAGCAAAGACTTGAAATCAACCCAAATGTCCATCAGTGACAGACTGGATTAAGAAAACGTGGCACATATACACCATGGAATGCTATGCAGTCATAAAAAAGATGAGTTTGTGTCCTTTGTAGGGACATGGATGCAGCTGGAAACCATCATTCTCAGCAAACTATCACAAGAACAGAAAACCAAACACTGCATGTTCTCACTCATAGGTGGGAACTGAACAATGAGATCACTTGGACTCGGGAAGGGGAACATCACACACCGGGGCCTATTATGGGGAGGGGGGAGGGGGGAGGGATTGCATTGGGAGTTATACGTGATGTAAATGATGAGTTGATAGGTGCTGACGAGTTGATGGGTGCAGCACACCAACATGGCACAAGTATACATATGTAACAAACCTGCATGTTATGCATATGTACCCTAGAACTTAAAGTATAATAATAATAATAACAAAAAGAAAGATAGAATATGTTCTTTGTTTATGAAAATAAATAAGAGACTGCCTACGGATAATTTTTAGCTGAACCCAAAGTAAGACATTGCTTGGAAATGTTTTCCTATGCTTTTATCATTAACACAGTTTTGGAATCTGAATACTTCACTAAGAAATCTGATTGTGATATATTTCCAAATATTTAATTTGTATTGCTTTTTGACAAACTTTTGTATATGGTTCCTGTGGACATGAATAAAGCATTTCCAACTTTAAAAAAAAAAAAAAAAGATACTTAACTCTCTATGCTTTGGAGATTACCTGAGGCTAATTATATTAGGACCATGGCATAAAATTATCATCCCACTTAGGTTAAAAGTAAAATAATATAGGAGAAACTGAGAAAGAGTAAATCTTGGTAATTCTTCTTAGAAATTTTGTCCAGCCAAGTGTAGTGGCTCACACCCATAATCCCAGCATTTTGGGAGGCCGGGGTGGGTGGATCACTTGAGGTTAGGAGTTCAAGACTAGTCTGGCCAACATGGTGAAACCCTGTCTCTACTAAAAATATCAAAAATTAGCCTGGTGTGGTGGTGGGCATCTGTAATCCCAGCTACTTGGAAGGTTGAAACAGGAGAATCACTTGAACCCTGGAGGTGGAGATTGCAGTGAACCAAGATCATGCCATTGCACTCCAGCCTGGGCAACAAAAGTAAGACTCCATCTCAAAAAAAAAAGAAAAGAAAAGAAAACAAAAGAAATTTTGTTCATGTTTGAAGAGGGAAGCATGACAGGACACATGAGAAGCAAAATGAAAGCATATATTTATACTTCATTACATCATTATAAGTTGGAAACATGAAGTAACAAAAGTAATAAGTAATCTGATTCTTTAGAGATGAAGTAATGACACTTTAAAGTAACACCAGGCCAGGTGCAGTGGCTCACACCTGTAATCCCAGCACTTTGGGAGGCTGAGGCGGGCAGATCACAAGGTCAGGAGATCGAGACCATCCTAGCTAACATGGTGAAAACCCGTCTGTACTAAAAATACAAAAAATTAGCAAGGCGTGGTGGCATGCACCTGTAAACCCAGCTACTCAGGAGGCTGAGGCAGGAGAATCACTTGAACCTGGGAGGTGGAGGTTGCAGAGAGCCGAGACCCCACCACTGTACTCCCGCCTGAGTGACAGAGCAAGACTTTGTCTCAAAAATAAAAAAGGAACACCAATGTGGATATAAGAATTCTAACATTTAATGTCCATTCCTCCCTTTGGCTGATCCTCTGAATATTTCCCTACAGGTTGGAGCCGCTCCTGAACAGTTTCTCACTTTCAAGTCCAATCCTCAAATAACTCTCACACTCAGCAAAAATAGCTTCCCTACCCTCTTCCCCTTTGTCCTTTCTGTCCTTATCATTTTGAGAACCAGCAGAGCCTCCTGGAACTCTATTTTTCTTTAATTTCTGACCTGTATTATGCTTAAAAGAAGGAAGGTCTAATAAACTGACACAGCAAATAATAATGCTTTTTATTTAGAACATGCAGAGAAGAAATGCCTTTGAATTATGATACACAAATCATCTTTCTCTATTTAATAATAACATATTAATAACAACATTAGATAAGTATCAGTATTATGTGACAGTCAATGCAACCGTTACAGACTATGGAGAATAGCAGATATATTTGCATTGTGAAGCATAGGAAACTCTCCTTAACAGAGGCTGAATGTTCACTAGATCTTGAGGGAAGGGAAAATGTGAGATGACAGGCCAGAAAAGGCATCACATATAGTGAAAGGTGGATAACGCCCCAGAGGAAAGAGAGCTGCAGGGACAGCACAGCAGCAGCCAGACCATCGGCTCTTCTTCAGACAGGAATGAAGCACAGCTGGTAGAAGGGTGGCACAGAGGCAAATCCATTGAAAACTGGAGTGGTGTCAAGGTCCTTTGGGTCAACTAGAGATTTCAGGTTAAAGTTCTGTAAAATGGAGGTCAGGAATAAAAACAGCTCCATGCGGGCCAGGCCTTCTCCCACACAAATCCGTTTTCCTGAAAATAGAAAACACAGAGATCTGTTACTCCTCATGTGTAACTGTGACAGTGACAAACACTGTCTTTGTAACTGGCACAAACAGAATATGCAATAACTGTTCAGTGAATCACAGGAAGGATGAGGAGATAGATGGGTGGATGGGTGCATGCATGAATGAATGGATGGATGGGTGAATGGATAAATGGATGAATGGATGGATGGATAGGCAACTGAAAAAATGAATGGACGTACTTACTCTTCCCCTAATACCAAATCTTAACAGGCACCCTGTATTCAACAAATATTTATTGAGTACCAGCTACATGCCAAGCACTTTATTAAAATCTTTCTAAAGACTTTAAATGTCTTCATCAATCTTTCTTTAGTAACATACGTTCCTTGTCAAGTGGGTTGAACTGAGAAGGACTTAGAGGAGGAGGCTAACATACTGTATTTCCCTTTGTATTTCTGGCTCAATACGCAGTCAAAGATTTTTTTTTCCCCTAGGTACTTTCAGGAGCACATGTCTAAACATGTCTCCTTCTCACTTTAAAACTTTCAATACTTCCCTGTCTGTCCTATAGAATAAAGTCCCAATGGATTGACCTGGACCCTCACATTCTGTTTCCAGTCTGATGATTCATATCACTCCTTACACTCTTCACATTCCCTACTCTCAACTCTAGGCATAGCCACTCGTCATCAGCCTCTAGCACACTGTGAGGTTTCAAGTTTTATATCACGCTGCTCCTTTTGGCCAAGATGAACTTTTCTATTACTACAATCAGGACATAGGTCAAATTTTATCTCCTTTTATACCCGCTTTCTCATCTCCTTGAGGAAGAAAATGTTGCTTTCTCTGGATTTCCTCAACATTATATTTATGCTTCCATTGAAAAATGTGCTATGATCTGAATACGGCTTCTCCCAATTTTGTATGTTGAAACATAATCCCCAATGCAATATTACTAAAGAGATGGTTCCTTTTAGGAAGTGAATAAGTCAGGAGGTCTCTGTCCTTGCTAAAATAATAACATCAAGAGATGCAAGGGAGCCATTTCTCCCCTTTTGCCTTTTGGCCTTCTGTCATATAAGGATACAGAGGGCGCATTATCTATAAGGAACAGGCCCTCACTAGGCACTGAACTTGCTGACACCTTGATCTTGGAACTCCAGCCTTCAGAACTGTGAGAAATAAATTTCCATTATTCATCAATTGCCTAGTCTTGGACATTTTGTCATGGCCAAAGAAACAGACAGCATGGGTCACCTAGAATAATAATTACTGATTTATTTATTTACTAGAGTGTGATATGGTTAGGCTCTGTGTCCTTACCCAAACCTCATGCCAAATTGTAATTCCCAATGTTGGGGGAGATACCTGGTGAGAGGTGATAGAATCATGGGGGATGATTTCCCCCTTGCTGTTCTCATGATAGTGAGTTCTCATGAGATCCGGTTGTTTAAAGGCATGTAGCCTTTTGTCTTTGTTCTCTTTCTCCTGCTCTGCCATGGAAAGATGTGCTTGCTTCCGCTCTGCCTCCCACCATGATTGCAAGTTTCCTGAGGTCTCCCAGTCATGCTTCCTGTACAGCCTGTGGAACTGTGAGTCAATTAAAACTCTTTTCTTCATCAATTACTCAGTCTCAGGTAGTTCTTTATAGCAATGTAAGAATGGACTAATACATGTGCCAAATGTGAATGCTTGAAGGAAGGTTTCTTTTCTTGTTGTCTTGGTATCTACAGTGCCAGATATAAAGCAGACATCAAAGGCCACAGAATGAAGGAAGGAGATTCTATCACCAGACACTCAGCACACACATTTCGGGTGTGGAGATCCAACATCCAAGATACATGGCCATGACTAGGGGAAGAGCGTGGTGCTCTGCATCACTGCAGAGTATCCTGCTACATTCCCAATGTCCCCCTCATCCCATCAACGGTTATTTGGCAAAGGTTCTAATATCCGTTATTTAGAGCTAATGTCCTGCTCCTGTGGCTCATTATTTCCTTTAACAGCCCTGCCTTCTCTTCCTTTCATCCTTTCTGCCTCCTCTGAGGTAACTCAAATGTCTTCACTGCTATTAAAATGTTACTTATGCCTCACTTTGGGGTATAAGAGAACAAGAAGCAGACAGCTTTTCCATCTACCTCCCAAACCCCAACAGCCTATTCTTTCCTATATCACAGCCTCAGTCCTATTGAACTACAATGATCTGTTTACTCTGCTTTCCAAACTCAGAAACGAGCCTTTTAAGACCCTCTTCAGTGTTTGAGGATAATTTTATCCTACAGGCCCAGCCTAGGGGGTAAGGGACACCATGTGGAAAACACTCAGTGAAGTTTTGGAGTGAAATAACTTCCTCATGGCTAGTGAGGAAAATGTAATTAGTTTTATCTTCTAGGAGGAGTTCTTGGGTACCTCAGTGGTGTATATAGAGGCAGAATTCAACCAACCTATACTTCAGCTTTCTCATTTTGGAAGAATTGGATTAACTCCCCAAAGCCCACTAATCTGGCTCAATAATTAGGATGTATCATGAGCAGGGAGCACACAGACATTCAGAACAGTGCTCTTGATCGTGTACGAAAAGTAATTGTACCACTGCAGAGGAGACACACATAAGTTTCAACTGATCAAAAAAGTTGTCTTATACCCTGAGAAACAAATGGAAATACATTTATATTACCTGCTGAGAAAGGCATGAAGTAGTTACTTTTCTTAAAATTGCCACCTTCATCCAGAAAGTGACGAGGGTCAAACATCTCTGGGTTGGGAAATTCTTTGTTGTCATGTAGCACAGAAGTCAGGGAAATTAATATGGTTGTGCCCTATAAACAAGAGACATAGATGAACTGAGCTGTAAAGAAGTCATGAAGGTTGAAGAAACAGTGGTGATCACATAGTTGAATCTTTTGATGTGCAGACGAGGAAACACCATTCCAAAGAAGAGCAGTACCATTTCCAGATGGACAGACCAAGTAATAATAGGCATGAGCTTAAGGCCAGTGAAAATAATCTCGCTAAAGTGCCCTGCAATCACATTTGAAGTCCCGAGTACTTGGATACTTGGGTGCAACCTTCTGAATCTGTCCTTCTTTTCATCAAGCTTGGACACTAGTGGCTGTCCACACTTGCTACTCTATTCCATCACTTTGGTTTTCACCAACCTTATGTGTAGAGTATGACTTAAAGTTGAAGTCTCTTTTGACATGGGAAATTGCCACAGTATCTGTTCACAGGGTATTTGTGAATAAACACGATTGAGTTTCAAATGACATCTTCTGGGATGATAACTAGTATAGTCACAAGTATAAAACTATTGAGTTCTTGTCATTGCCATGCAGTTTGTTTGTCTTCATTTAAAGATATGGGAGAGATATTCATTACAGATTAATCCTAGCTAAAAAATACAGAAGGAACGATGAAATTAGAAAAATCACCTATTTTTAACCATTCAGGTCAAGATCATCAGGTCAGGTGAGGATCATTAATGAAAGAAAAAACTATTGGATGTGTGACTTGGGAAGCAGGGTGTTCAGTTTTAAAGTACCATGCCATAGATTTTCATCATTCACACATGAAAAACAGAACCCCTTCAATGAAGAGATCTGGCAGATTCCAACTTATTAGGTGAGAATCTTAGCATAACCAATAATGACATATGTGACATTATGTGCCTCTGCCTCACCACTGTGATTCAGTGGGATATTCAAAGTACTATGTAGTTTTATTGCCAAAGTCATAACTGGAATATAATATCTAGAAAATAGTCATACAAAATGAGCCTTAGGAAAGTTTAAATGACTAACGGCCTCAACTCTTCACAGAGGTCAACATATCGAAAGGAAACAGAGGAAATGGACTCTTCTTGATTACGGGAGATGAAAATAACAGGATACTGAAATTATGTGCCTGTTTCTTGACTGGAGAGTGAATTGCAAGAAAAAAAGTGATTAACATATTCTTTAAAAATTGGAAAATTTTAAATATAGGCTGTGTAGTTAATATTATTGTATTAATAACTCCACAGTATGAATGCTATTAATATTATGTAGGAGAAAACCATTGTTATTGTGCTATACATACTGAAGTACTGAAGCATAAATAGATGGATGGACAGATATCAAAGTAGATATATATACATACTGCCATATGTACATATACACATGTGTTTGTAAAGTTACTTATTTTAAAATATTTTATAATAAAAAGGTGAGGAAAAATTCTACCCCCTAAATTTTCATATCAATAGTCTATAATTTAGGTTTTCAAAAATATTCCCTTGAATATTTATAAACAAGTACTATATTAAAATGTTATTAAGAACCAAAGCAGATTTATTTCAACAAATGTTACTTGAATAACTAGAAATTTATAGACATTGAAGCATGATGATTATTACTTCATATTACAAATAAAAATTCATTTGAAATATGTCATTGATCTAAATATAAGAGCTAAAACAAAAAAATTCCAGGAAAGTTAAAAGCCAGTCTTTGGAATCTTGTGCTGACAAATATTCTTTAATAGGACACAAAAGAACAAATTAATCACACATATTTGCAGAAAATTCTACTGGACAGGAATGTCTTATAATAGGCATCAATAAAAAATACTCCCTGTACAAGTCCATCCTGCCACCTGTTTTTGTATAGTATGTGAGCTAAAAATATTCACATTGAACAAATGCAAACAAGAAATAATATGTTTGAAACAAACATTTTATAGGAAATTTACATTTGTTTCTATAAAACTTGGAACATATCAATCTTCATTCATTTGCAGATTGTTTATGACTGCTTTCATACTACAATAAGAGATGTCAAGTATTGCAACATAAACCACATGGCCGGAAAAGTCTAAAATATTTACTATCTGGCCCATTACAGAAACAGTTTGCCAACTCCTGTCTCAGACTATTATCTCCAGTTAGATAAATGGATCCAGCCTGTAGCAGAAGAACACATGTATCCGATTTGTAAAGAGGGTAGAATTGGCCACACAGTGCTGCATTTTTCTGTACTGGGCTATTCCATGAAGAAGGGATTCAATGGGTGATTCCTTTGGGCTCTGGTTTCTCAGGGCTCAAAAGACAACAGGCACAGCATGAGCTGCCCTGCATGGGGGTGAATGAAGAAGCTCATCAGATGCAGCATTTCCCCTCCAGCAGGTCACCAAAGCTGATGCAGTGAACTGGGGAGACTGGCAGCTCCTGCCTGATTCTTCAGTATATTTCTCATTTAGTTAGTTACAGGAGGAGAAGTAAGTTTCATTACTATTACCCTCAGACCCTAATTTTGAGAAACAAAAGTCTTCTCCTGGTTACCTCCTTTGTTTGAGATAACAGAGTGCATTGAAGTTTTATCTCTTGTACTAAATCAGTGACCATTAGGGTAAGCCCCATAATCTCTCAGTAAATTATCAATTCTGTCTTCTTCAAAAGATGACATTAGTAATTGCAACCTTACCAATATCATTCCTTTTTCCCCTTGAAAATACAACTTTCAGTTATATTATTTTTTATTTTACTAATCATATGTATTGGTTTTAATTGGAAAATGTAGGTTTGAGATGGCAACTGGAGTGTCTGGATAAATACAGAAACCATGTGATAGAAGGCATTGTAAAGCTGCCAAGACAAAAATTGGTCTCAAGGTTCCAGAGGTAGGAGAATCTCAGAGAGCTAAGCTAACACTGACACTCAGTTTTTGACTGGGTTCACATTATGTCCAATTCTGAATCATGACAACAGGTGTTATGTCATTATGACTGCCTATGGGAGAGGAATGAATCTTTCTTTGAAGAATATAAACCTCTGAAATTCTGTAGTTTCTTATATATAGTGTCTGGTATTTAACCAAAAGTCATCAGGTATTTCAAAGATACAACTAAGTGATCACACGAAGAAAAGTGGGGAGAGGGAACGGCAATAAAATCAGACTTGCATTAGGAAACTTTTCTCCCCTAGTTTTGTAAGGCTGGCATAATCTCAATATCAAAAATCTTGAAAATTCTAAGAAAGAAAATTATAAACCAATCTCTTGTGAATGTAAACACTGAAGTCCTAAACAACATGAAGAAGGTCAATTCATCTCTATGTGCATACTTATTTCTATTTAGTGAGGAATGTAAGCCCAATACATATAATCTGATGTTGTGTAGATATTTGTCCCCTCCAAATCTCATGTTGAAATGTGATTCCCAGTGTTGGAGGTGGAGTCTGGTGGGAAGTATTTAAGACATGGGGGTGAATTCTTCTTGAGTGGCTTAAAGCTCTTCTTATGATAATAAGTGAGTTCATATTCTGTTAGTTCACACACGAGCTGGTTGTTTAAAGTCACTTCCACTCCTTTCTCTCTTACTCCCTCTCTTGCCATGTGACATGCTTGCTTCCCCTTCACCTTCTTCCATGATTGAAAGCTACCTGAAGTCCTCACTAGGAGCAGATGCCTGCCCCCATTATGCCTTTTGCACAGCCTGCAAAACCATGAGCCAAAATAAAACTATTTTATTTATAAATTACCCAGTCAAAGATATTCCTTTATAGCAATGGAAACGGACTAACACACAAGTATATAAATAGATGCAGAGAATTGATGTGATAAGATTTTACACACAATTATGACATCTATATATGACAGCAAACTTCTCTAATCTGATAAAAATTATCTACCAAAATATACTTCAAGCATCATTCTCAATATTGAAATGGAAAACTTTCACTGTTTCCTGCAGATTAGAAATGAAAAACAAGGATCCCCACTGTAACCAATTCTATTCAACACTCTCCAAAAAATTCTAGCCAATGCAATAACTAATGCAATAAAGAGACATTAAGCCCATGAGAAATGGAAAATAAGTAATAAAACAATATTAACCCAGATACAGTATAATTACACAGAAATTACAATGAATCCAGAAATAAATTATGAACAGTGATTAGTAAATTTAGCAAAGTTGACAGATTAACATCATCAGAATGATAAAAACTAATTATATTCCAAAACAAAAATATTAATTATCTAGGGAAAACCAAAGACTTGAAAGCCATGACAACAAATCACAACATTCCTGGGAAAATAAAAGAAATCCCAAATAAATTTGAAGCATAATTATATTCATGAATGGAAAGAGGCAACATGTCAAGATTCAGTTCTTTCCAAACTGATCTATAAATTTAATGTCACCCTGACAGAAATTCCAGCCCAATGTTTTGGGAAATTGACATACAAATGCCTTTAAAATTTATCTGGAAACATAAGCACCTAAGAGTAGCCAAACCAATCTTGAAGAAAGATAATAAATCATGAAAACACACACTGCCAGACACTAACACCTGTTACAAAACAGTAGCCCCAAACTGGAAACAACACAAAGTCCAATTAAACTGCCAGACATATGAGTTATGCACTTCTCTCACCAGGTGAGAGTAGAGGATAAGAATGATACTATGAATTTGGGGACTTCAAAAACATGGAGTTGCAGTGTAGGAGAAACAAACTTACCTTGGGGATGAGGTAGTTTCTGAATTTAACATCACAGGTCACTGCATGGGGCAGGTTGGTGGGGAGGAGGTCAATGTATCTCTGGACCTCATGCACCACAGCATCTGTGTAGGGCATGTGGCTCCTGTCCTGCATGCAGGGGCTCCGGTTTCTGCCAATCACACGTTCAATCTCTTCCCGGACTTTAGCTGACAAGACACAAGTAAAAACTGATCGAAAAGGAGAAAAATGGCACATTTGTTGTCGCAATCCACGGGTACATGAATCATGATGAAGGCATCCAAACAACATTATAAATTTAAATTATAGTGCTGGAAGTATATGCAAATGTAAAGAGAGGACTGTTACAGATGCACAAGTGTGTAACTACCATAAACTAGGCATTAAGAAAAATCTGTACACATACAAGCAGAGAAAATTATCTTCAATAAAGGAAGACTGGAAAGATTTTAAAAAGGAAGAGAAGTCCACAAAACAACCAGAAAACAAATAACAAAAGGGCAGGGGTAAGTCCTTACTTATCAATAATAACACTGAATGTAAATGGGCTAAAATCTCCAATCAAAAGACAGACTGACTGGATGGAAAAACAAGACCCATTAATCTGTTGCCTAAAAGAAACACACTTCACTTAAAAAGACACACATAGGCTGAAAATAAAGGAATGGAATGAGACAGTACATGCCAATAGAAACGAAAAAAAAGCAGGAATTACTATATTTAAAAAAGACAAAGTAGATTTCAAAACAAAAACTATAAGAAGAGACAAAGAAGATCACTATTGGTGATAAGGTAGTCAGCTTGGCAAGAAGATGGAACAATTTTAAATATATATGCAACCAATAATGGAGCACCCAAATATATAAAAGAAATACAATTAGAACTAGAGAGAGATAGTCCCCAGTACAATAATAGCTGGAGACTTCAACATCCCACTTTCAGAATTGGACAGGTCATCTAGATAGAAAATCAACAAGGAAACATTGAACTTTATCTGCACTATATACCAAATGGATCTAATAGATATTTGCAGAATATTTTATCCAACTGCTACAGAATACACATCCTTTTCTGTAGCACATGGATTGTTATCAGGAATTGACCATATGTTAGGTCACAAAACAAGTCTTAAAATATGCAAAGAAACTGAAATAATATCAAGCATCTTCTCTGATCACAGTGTAATAAAACCAGCAATCAATAACAAGAGGAATTTTGGAAACTACACAAATAAATGGAAATTTTAAAATATACTCATAAATGGAGAGTGGGCCCATGAAGAGATTAAAAAGGAAATTGAAAAATTTCTTGAAACTAATTTTAATGGAAACACAACATACCAAAACCAAGGGGCTATAGCAAGACCAGTACTAAAAGGGAAGTTTATAGCTACAAGAACTTATATCAAAAATGGAGAAAATAGACAAATAAACAATCTAATGATGCATCCTAAATAATTAGAAAAGCAAAAGCAAATTAAACCCAAAATTAATAGAAGAAAAGGAATAATAAAGATCAGAGCAGAAATAAATAAAATTTAAACGAAGAAAAACAAAAGATCAATGAAACAAATTTGCTTTTGAAAAGTTAAACAAAATTGACAAACCATTAGCCAGACTAAAAAAAAAAAAAAAAAAAAAAAAAGAGTAGATTCAAATAAATAAAAACAAATTAAAAAGGAGGCAACTGATACTGCAGAAATTCAAAGAATAATTAGTGGTTACTATAAGCAACTATATGCCAATAAATTGGAAAGTCTAGAAGAAATGGACAAATCACTAGACAAATATGACCCATCGAGTTTGAACCAGGAAAAAATCCAAAACCTGAACATGCAATGATCAGTACCAAGATCAAATGAGAAATAAAAAGTATCCCAGTAAAGAAAACCCCAAGACTGGCTAGCTTCACTGCTGAATTTTACCAAACATTTAAAGAAGAGCTAATACCAATCCTACTCAAACTATTCCAAAAAAAAAAGGAGAAGAGAATACTTCAAAACTCATTCTGTGAGACCAGTATTACCCTGATACCAAAATCAGACTAAGACACATCAAGAAAAGAAAACTACAGGTCAATACACCTGATGAACACTAGTGCAAATATCTTCAACAAAATACTGGCAAACCAAATTCAGCAATACAATAAAAAGGTCATTCACAATGACCAAGTGGGATTTATCCCTCGGATGCAAGGATGGTTCAACATGTGCAAATCAAGCAGTGTGATACATCATATCAAAAGAATGAAGGACAAAAGCTATATGATCATTTCAGTTGGTGCTTAAAAAGTATTTGATAAAGTTTAACATCCCTTCCTGATAAAAATTCATTTAAAAAACCTGAGATAGAAGGAACATACCTCAACATAAAAAAGCTATATGACAGAGCCACAACTAGTACTATATTGAATGGGGAAAACGAAGAGTATTTCCTCTAAGATCAGGACCATGACAAGGATGCCCACTGTCACCATTGTTATTCATCATAGTACTGGATGACCTAGCAAGAGCAATCAGACAAGAGAAAGATATAAAGGCTATCCAAATTGGAAAGGAAGAAGTCAAAATATCCCTGTGTTCAGATGATATAACCTTATATTAGGAAAAACCTAAAGATTCCACAAATTAAATATTAGAACTGATGAACAAATTCAGTAAAGTTGAAGGATACAAAATCAATATAAAAATCAGTAGTGTTGTTATATGCCAACAGTGAACAAAAAGAAAAACAGATTTTAAAAGTAATCCCATTTACAATAGCCATAAGTAAAATTAAATACTTAGGAATTAATTTAACCAAAGAACTGAAAGATGCCTAAAATGAAAACTATAAAACACTGAGGAAAGAAATTTAAGAGGACACAACAAATAGAAAAATATTTCATGTTCATGGATTGGAAAAATCAATATTGTTAAAATGTTCATACTATCAAAACAATCTACAGATTCAATAAAATCCCTATCAAAATATCAATGGCATTCTTCTCAGAAATAGAAAAAATAAATCCTAAAATTTATATGCACCCACAAAAGACCCGGAATAGTCAAAACTATCCTAAGCAAAAGGAACAAAACTGGAAGAATCACATTATCTCACTTCAAATTATAGGCCGGGCGTGGTGGCTCAAGCCTGTAATCCCAGCACTTTGGGAGGCCGAGACGGGCGGATCACAAGGTCAGGAGATCGAGACCATCCTGGCTAACAGGGTGAAACCCTGTCTCTACTTAAAAAAATACAAAAAACTAGCCGGGCGAGGTGGCACGCACCTGTAGTCCCAGCTACTCGGGAGGCTGAGGCAGGAGAATGGCGTAAACCCAGGAGGCAGAGCTTGCAGTGTGCTGAGATCCGGCCACTGCACTCCAGCCTGGGCAACAGAGCAAGACTCCATCTCAAAAAAAAAAAATCTCATGTACCCCCAAACATACTAATATATACTACTATGTACCCATAAAAATTTAAAAAGATAAAAGATGAAAAATCTCTATATACATATACATTAGTATATATGATAATTAATACAAATAAAAATAATAAAATGTTTGCAAACATAAAGTAAGCATATAATTTAGTCACGAAATTACTGTCTTGAAAAAAACAGGGATTAATTTCATATCAAAATAACATGTTGCTTAAACATTAAATTATACTATCAGATTTATGCATATATGTGACTGTATTTGTGCATCTGTGTGCGGGAGGGGTTGCAAATTGCAATGGTATACTCTTCATTCTCACACTTTCCAAATTCACCATTTTCAACATTCTAGCAGCTTCTTCTGAACATACATTCACATTTTTAAATAAAGACTCTGTTTCTATTTCTTACTTATCTTTTTGTGGATTATATTAATAATTTTTTATTATGAGAGATGAAAATTTTAATCTTCAACTTCACTTCACATTTGAACACACCCTCAGATAGACACACTCACTTTTCCACACTCCTTTTTCCAGAATATATTTAGATGACAATTTTTATATCAGTATTCATTGCTTACATCATTCTGACTACACAAATATGGTTCTCTGGTAAGACAGCTATGATTAAATTGTATTTTTAGTACTATCCTGGGCATAACCAAGTCTCTTTATTTCAATTTGTGATTTCTGTTTCCCAAGTTAGAATTATTGACAAGTGTTCAGGCAGATGTTTGAAATTCCTTTTTGAGCTATTGGAAACTCTCATAAAATCTGTCACATCTCTTTTATTCTTACTGTCTCCTCTCACTTCTGAATTATCCACCAGGTCCATTCTGAAGTAGTTGTTTTCTAGGTCTGGTGCTAGGCAGCCTCCCTGACATTCTCATTCTCCTACATGAGGTTTCCTGATTGCTGGAGCTCAGGACTTTCTCTAACTAGGTTTCAGGCATTTGAATGAAGCATATTCTCCAATATTTTTCTGAGAAAGGGAAAATAGAAGGTAAAATTTTTGGCAAACATTCAAGTATGAAAACATCCTATTTCTATTAATATACAAGATAATATTAATAGTTCCTCTTGAGAATTCTGAATCCCAATTGTTTCAATATAACCTGGTATAGATCTGAAAGTTTTTGTGATTTTCCCTTTAATTCTCAGGTCCTCACATTCCGTAACCCTGTGTCTAGCAGTATATGTTTTCATTTCATTCACTCTGTTGGACATTGAAGAGAATTTTCCATTAAGATGGCAAAAGAAAAATGTCATTTCTCTAGATCAGTTCCCTTTGTGTTGGATAAAGTTAGCTGCTGAATTTTAGGAAGCAAGATGAATAAAAGAACTAAGAGTCTCCTAATTGAAGGAGTAGACCCGTACCAAATCTGCCTTCAAGCCTACACCTCATGCCTTTTCTGGCACTGCCCTGTGTCTCTGAGTACAGGGCTTCTTAAGCTCAGTTTCTCTAGAGAGTGAGCCTCCTTCTTCTTATGGGAAGAAATCAGTTACCTGATGAAAAGACTTGTGGAGGAAACATAGGCAGGGAAAGCCTCCTTTTTTGCCTCATTCTCCACCATTCATTAACCCTTGAAACTTCCAAATACTTCTATTGAAGAGACTTAAGGGACACTGATTAACTTTTCCTCCTTGACAAATTTTTCTCTTCTGCCTTTTTGGTTACAAGTTTATCCTCTCTGTACAGATTTATCAATCCTCTATATGCTCTCTGTGTTTTAGAAATTTGTTAAAGTCTTCTTGACTATCTCCTGTAC